CCCCCCCCTCCACTAAAACAGTTTGTGATTTTTTCCAAACATGAATGATATACATCCTTGTTCTTATAATTTAAAACAGCTTATTTCGAAATGTGGTTTCTCTGCTGACTTTCCCTTTTATTCAACAGAGTAAAAGAAGGAAATTTTCATCACGATTTTCGAAAAAAAAACCTGTTGTGAAAGGGTCAATTAAGATTATGCTGACAGTCCCTTTAATGCTTGAAAAAAAAACTTTATGAAGCCAGGCGTTGAACACGAAGTTACGAAGAAATATGTTTCCCGAGACTCACTCTAATTAATTCAATTCAATGGCTCGGTTTTATCCATAAATTTGGCGGAAATGAGAGCATAAAATTTTATAAGGGCCATTTTCTTTGCAGGAATGATTAAGAGCGGAAGGGTAAGTTGTAAGAAATTCTGAAAGATTTGGGTGAGAAAAAGAAATCGCCTCTCTCGCTCTTGTATTTGAAAGGAGAGGGAACAAAACATCTTGTTTTAAAACACATGATATCCTCATCATCCCAAAACATCTTGTTTTAAAACACATGATATCCTCATCATCCCAAAACATCTTGTTTTAAAACACATGATATCCTCATCATCCCAAAACATTACAAAACATTTTAGTTTAAAGAACCTAAAACAATACAAACGACATTTTATCTAGATTTAGAAGTAAAATATTTATTGAAAAACATTTTTTGTTTTTCAGTAATAATAAAGGGACTGTAGACTTATGTTCAAGAGATTCTCTGCAGATCACAAATGTACCCTTTAAAGCTTTGTCTGATCAAGATCTCTCTGAAACTTGATTATTGAAACCATTGGTCTCTATAAATTGACTAGAAACTGCGCACTTCTGCTACAGAAACAATATGAATGGAAATGTTCAATATTTAAAAACTTGTAAGTTATAAAGTTATGAATCGGGTTTAACCCTTTTGAAATGAAAGGTCACTTGAAATTAAAGGACAGTCCCTTTTAACAGAAAATATATATTGTTAGGTTAATTTTATTCTGATTCAGTTTTTTCTGTTAATTTGTTTTTTGTTTTTCTAATTTTAGACCTTTTAAACTTACTAAAATCAAATGAAAAATCAAAGACTCTCCCAATGTATCAGGATGCATAATGCATGTACATGTCTCTATTAGTTCGGATACATATAGCTTGGGATCAATCAAACCAGACAATAATAAAGATTGTAGTCTTAATATGACAAGATAGACCACATACCGCATACCAGCATACCAGTAAATATATGGAGTCTCGGGAGCAATCAGTTCGTGTTCCATGATAAAATCATAAAAATGTTTATCTACAGTGAGAACCAGAAAACTCCGGAATAGGAAGACGACTTCTAGACTCAAGTTATGACTTTCAAAAACCCAATGAACATAAGACACAGTAATTGTGCAGTGTCAACAGAAATAGTTCACTCAATAAGTGATTTAATAAGTGTCATAGGAAAACTTTTTGCTTTGTAACAACATCAAATACACTTAAATATTGCTATAATGTCGTCTTCATTTTCCACCGGTTTATTGTTCTCACTGCAGTAGCTACAGAATACTCAGATTTTAATTATATTGTTTTAAAAAAAAATGTTGGGAAATTTGTTAAAAATACAACTTGCGCAATTTCTTAATTTCTATTTGAAACCTGATGGTGTAAACCTTTGATATTTCAAATTTTGAATATTAAACCTATGCTGAATTCCTTCTTTGAAATACCAAAGCCCTTATACAAAAATTAGAGTTTAAGGAAGGCAAGTAATCAGTTCTTTTACCGAGATAACTGTAAATATATATAAATTGATGCATATCTAGGTCTACAGAAGAACTTAGACAAGACAAATGGTGACAAAGTTTTGTTTTGTTTTTGTTTTGTTTTTGTTTATAGAAACTAGAGAAATATCATTAATATTTAAATGAAAATAAGTTAGGCCCAGGAATGTTGACTAATGTTTACACTTATTTGAGAACTTTGGGTTCCATCAGAATTTAAAATAAGAAGAGAAGAACGAGAACTAGGAAGAAGAGAAGGATAAAAAATAGGAAGAAGAGAAGAATAAGAATTAAGAAGAAGAGAAGAAGAGAAGAATAAGAACTATAAAGAAGAGAAGGATAAGAAATAGGAAGAAGAGAAGAATAAGAACTAGGAAGAGAAGAATACGATCTAAAGTAAGAAGAGAAGAATAAGAACTATAGTAAGAAGAGAAGAATAATAACTAGGAAGAAGAAGAAGAATAAGAACTATGAAGAAGAGAAGGATAAGAAATAGGAAGAAGAGAAGAATAAGAACTAGGAAGAGAAGAATACGATCTATAGTAAGAAGAGAAGAATAAGAACTATAGTAAGAAGAGAAGAATAAGAACTAGGAAGAAGAGAAGAAGATAAGAATAAGAACTAGGAAGAAGGGAAGGATAAGAAATAGGAAGAAGAGAAGAATAAGGATTAGGAAGAAGAGAAGAAGAGAAGAAAAAGAACTAGGAAGAAGAGAAGAATAAGAACTATGAAGAAGAGAAGGATAAAAAATAGGAGTAAGAGAAGAATAAGAATTAGGAAGAAGAGAAGAAGAGAAGAATAAGAACTATGAAGAAGAGAAGGATAAAAAATAGGAGGAAGAGAAGAATAAGAATTATAGCAAGAAGAGAAGAATAAGAACTATAGGAAGAAGAGACGAATAAGATCTATAGTAAGAAGAGAAGAATAAAAACTAGGAAGAGAAGAATAAGAATTATAGCAAGAAGAGAAGAATAAGAACTATAGAAAGAAGAGACTAATAAGATCCATAGTAAGAAGAGAAGAATAAGAACTAGGAAGAAGAGAAGAATAAGAACCAGTAAGAAGAGAAAAATAAGAACTAGGAAGAAGAGAATGAGATCTATAGTAAGAAGAGAAGAATAAGAACTAGGAAGAAAAAGAAGAACTTTGAAAAAGTAAAGAATAACAAATAGGAAGAAGAAAATAATAGTAAGAAAGAAAGAACGAAAAGCCCCCCCCCCCATCCAACTAGAAGCGTCATGAATTTGTGATATGTTCATCTCACCATTAGTTTTCAATTTTCATTCTCATCCACTCAATGACTTGTTTCCTCCTTCTAATTCTAATACTTCAGTCACGTGTTCAACTAAACTAGGTGCCAAGAGAACCTTACAGTTAATTTATCAAATTAACTTCATAGAATTAATATTTTTCATTTTATTCGGTCTGAGAAATTACTGCAACAATCTTCAATCCAACGAAAATTTCAGAAATAAGGATGAAGTAACTAGAATCTTATTTTTTCATTTTTCAAATGTTAATAAAGAATTTAAACCAGCATCTACCATCTACCATCTTTCATCTACCATCTACTATCTACCATCTACCATCTACCAACTACAATCTTTATCCAGGTCTCGTCAAATTCGGCAAACAAGAACAACATAATATTTCCTTTCTAAACACACTTTCAAAAAGAAAATCTTTAAAGGGACTGTATGCAAGTGTTGAAACAAGTAAACAAAACGGTGTCCACTTTTTGTCATTTAAAATCTCTTTTATCAATTTCACAAATATTATTCAAAGTCAAAACTTACACACAGTCTCTTTAAGAGAGTGAAAAAATAAAAATTGTTTTAAGACTGTTAAAAATACGATTTTATTATATAAAGTACATTTACAATTATAGATATGTTCACGTGATCATTTCTTTTTCTCTTCAAACTTAGTTTGAACATGTTTAGAAGGATTAGGGATTGAAGAATAATGAAAAGACTGGGGAGGGGGGAAGGGGGGGATATATTGTTTTTCTACCCCCGAAGGAGAGTAAATATCTTTTAAATCGATAAATTCCATATCTTACAACTTCAAGACATGGAGAGTATTCTGTCTCCGTCCGTCCAAAGGATATTTCCGTTCGTACGTCTAAAACTAGTTTTGTTCCAACTAAGCTGTCTTGTATAGATTCTCACTACAGAGTAAATCCTGTGTTCTAACACAGACCCTGATACAATACATATATATTTATTCTCACAGGTTGACGAGAAACTCAGGATATTATAGTATATACTGAAGATGAACACTGAGATTTTATAAAAATTCACAAAAAAATCTAGGTTTTTGTTTAGTTTAGAGAATCCAGCACTTGAGATTGTCTGAACCCAGCTCCGGGTCTGATCAATGGCACTGAGAATAAGCTGAATAATACTTAATCCTGACAAAATGGAAAAATTTTTCACAAAGATTGTTGAAACTCACTTCTCCGGACACATTTTTCTCGACCTTCTCTGAAATCTTTTCATCCTTCTCCTCCATTCTTCCTTCCACTCGAGAACCACAGTTTTATTCTTGATAACAATAGCTCGTCTGCTCGACTCCTCCTGTCCAAGGATAAGATAGGTTGATCTTTGTCGGAGTTTAGGACATCCACACTCCACATCCTCCTTCTTCACCCAGACATCAACAGGTCCTTGCTGCTGGAGTCCTCTCACTTCTCCAGACTTACGGAACACTGAATCAATGGTTGCTTGGAACTTTAACCATTTACTCCCGGAGTTAACCTGCCGGATGAGTGTGACAAGAACAACATAATCCTGTTTACAGTATTTTCGCATGTTTACCTTACGCTTGACCTGTTTACAGTGTGCGCAGGCTGCGCTTGCATCTCCCTGGGGACGTGCGTATCCAGGTTCCGAGGCCGGAGTATATCCTCCCGATCTACCATAGTTTGCAAAACCTGATCTAGGAACCTTGATACAAGGAGCTATCGGAGAACCAGACTGTTGGTAACCCTTCTCACATCTATTACATTCTAAACCTGTTACTCCGTCCTTGCAAGGACACTGTCCATTTGTCTGATTACATATTTTTCCACTTGATCCCACGGGATGACAGTTACATGGTCGACACGCCTTCTTGTGTGTCATCGGCTTGTCAGCGTTTCTGAAATATCCTTCCTTGCAGTAGTGACAGTGTCTGCCCGCTGTATTATGCCTGCATTTATAACAGACTCCTCCTGATATACCTCCAGAGAGTCTATAGAGCTCCATGTTGAACCTACACCTTCTAGCGTGTAGGTTGCAGGAGCAGGGAACACACTCGTTAGGAGAAGATGATGTTGCTCGACCCCAGGGTCGATCAAAATGAAAAGGTTTGCATTTCTCACATTCACGGCCATCAGTGTTATGCTGACAGTCGCAGGCCAGCTCACCGTATTTATCAAATTTACACTGAGAGGCGTGTCCGTTACACTTACATCGACCCCCTATAGCGAGATCTGATACACTGATATACTGCCTCGAATAATCAGGCTCACTTAGATTCCTTTCCTCGGAATGATTACTGCTGATAGAGTTGCTTTCAACCTTAGGTTGGAAGTGTGCGCTCGGAAATACAATCTTGATGTCTGTAGCTGTAACCCAATCCTGGAGAACAGGGCTGTTCTCAAAGTCTTCTGCACTGGGCCTATCTGCAAGGGTGGAGAATGCAACCCTTGTTCCTGCTCCGTCCTGGAGATGTGAGTCCAGACATAAAGCTTCCTGTTCATTGGCTCTGGAGATAGAAACCCTATGATCCCTGTCCCAAACATCTCTACAATCTCCTGAATAATACTGAAAGGGTTGCCAAGATTTCCCGTGATCCATAGATTTGTAGATTGCGAGTGAATGAGGTTTCTGATTGCAGAACTGCATTGAAATATAGGTCAGTTCATACTTTTTACCCAAAGACAGGGTGAGGGTGACATTTCCATCCGTATCCGGAGTTAGAATCTGACTGTTCCAACACGTCACATTGTTGGGATTGTTTAAATCTGTTAAGAATTCTGCAGGATGGTTTTTACTCAGGTTTTCCGCGTCACACACCTCACAAACCTCCCTGGTTTGTCCGGCCAGGAAGTGAGGAGATGATGAAGAATAACAATGTCTAGAAGGAGGAGAACCACAAGTTGAACTTGCCTTGACAGAAACTCCGTAAGCTGCGTTGACAAAGTCTGGAACACATTGTCTAGGTTTGTCTGTCTCATCATCATGGCAAGGATCGGATTGAGCCGCCTCGGACTGAAACATTTTTAGAAAAGCTCTGTTCACCCTTCTCCGAGCAAAGACTGCTGAGACGGAGAACATAATCACTAAAAGTCCTCGAATTCTCATAATTCCGTCCTCTTCCTCTGTTTATCAATTTAGAACTATCCGCATCCCTTGGAATGGTTGGGTATCCGTTCTCCGGGTTCCGCGCTGAATGGAGGTTTAGGTGCCGGACTGTCTACTTTAGTGTCTCCACTCCTCGGAGTTTGGTGTGACTCTGTGCACCCCCTTTACTCCCCCTGTATGGAAACCCCCCTCAATAATACCCATCTTAATGACCACTGATCCGTCCCCTAGTTGCGGGATCACACCTCACAATGGCGGCCAACTCACGGAGCAGCGGTACCATTCATTCCTGACAGGGTCTCCTGGTCCACCTAGAGAACCTAGATCAACCTTTCCATGATTAAAGAGAATCCTTCCCAACCTGGATCAAGGTGTAAACACAAACACTGAGATTAATCGGTAAAGGATTACAGCCTACTCTCAACTGAGTTCTGTCCCGTACTGATTCCATCCCGGTCAGATCTGAGAATGCCGCTGCGCCGCCGCCCACAATTGAGATGGAGGGGGGGGGGGTAGGACGGGTTCCCCAGGATTCTTCTCCGGAAGAGTATTGAGTAGATGAAGGTAGCTTGACCAACTAGATAATTAGATGACAGCTGGAGGAATTTATATTATTCAAAATTTTCAACTTTTTCAATCCAACACTCAACCCTAACTTTCAAAACAACAGGGAACGGTTGGGGGAGAGAGATTGAGCATGAAGTTGGGTAGGTGGAGGAAGGGGGGGGGGAATATAAAACTATGGTATACATAATAATAAACAATGCAGATATGCAAATATATAGATGGGTAGTCAGATATTGTCAAATATCTCCAGATTGACTGAGCAGAGAGGAACACAGAGTTCTAGAGCTCAAGATACAAACTGAACATTTAGAAGTTTACCCGTAAAACAATTTGTTCATTTGTCCTGGATAAACACATTTCTGACAGAGATGAAACATACTAACAAATTGCAGATTAAAATCTATAAAAATTTTACTACTTGTTGATGCTTTGCAACCCATATTTTGTTCCTAAAACACAACAAATGTCAAATTAAAATTCCGCAAAATTGTAATTTGTATTTTATTCGTGAGATGAGTTTTATTAGATTCTAGAACCGGGGGGGAGAAATCACTTTTGCAATTCCGGCAACGACATTTTCGTTTAAGTTTAAGATNCCCCCGACAAATATACTTGAATAGTCCAATAAATAAAAGATTCAGCACGAATATTGAATTCTCTAAGGAGTTCCGCAGGTTCAGATTTCAAAATATTCTATCATTGCACTAAACATGGATCCTTCTAGTTCCTAGTTGTACCCTGAGTTATATATCCATAATTTTGGAACCTGATACAATACTTGATCCGCCTTAATCCAACACTAACCTAAAACTGCTGGAAATCATGAAGGTTTGATCAATTAAAAAACATAATTGGACAAATTATAATCGGCTCTCACCACTTTCTGGGTTTATGCGGAGCTAAACGATTCATTCAAAACCCCAAACTTACAACCTAAACTAAACCTAAACCTGAACCTAAACCTGAACCTAAACCTGAACCTAAACCTGAACCTAAACCTGCACCTAAAACTGAACCTAAACCTGATCCTAATCCTGAACCTAAACCTAAACCTAAACCTGAACCTAAACCTGAACCTAAACCTGAACCTAAACCTGAACCTAAACCTGAACCTAACCCTGAACCTAAACCTGAACCAAAACCTGAACCTAAACCTAAACCTAAACCTGAACCTAAACCTAAACCTAAACCTGAACCTAAACCTGAACCTAAACCTGAACCTAAACCTGAACCTAAACCTGAACTTAAACCTGAACCTAAGCCTGAACCTAAACCTAAACCTAAACCTGAACCCAAACCTGAACCTAAGCCTGATCCTAAACCTGATCCTAAACCTGAACCTAAACCTGAAACTAAACCTGAAACTAAACTTGAATCTAAACCTGAACCTAAACCTGAACCTAAACCTGAACCTAAACCTGAACCTAAACCTGAACCTAAACCTGATCCTAAACCTGAAACTAAACCTGAAACTAAACCTGAATCTAAACCTGAACCTAAACCTGAACCTAAACCTGAACCTAAACCTGAACCTAAACCTGAACCTAAACCTGAAACTAAACCTGAAACTAAACCTGAATCTAAACCTGAACCTAAACCTGAACCTAAACCTGAACCTAAACCTGATCCTAAACCTGATCCTAAACCTGAACCTAAACCTGAAACTAAACCTGAACCTAAACCTGAACATAAACCTGAACCTAAACCTGAACCTAAACCTGAACCTAAACCTGAACCTAAACCTGAAACTAAGCCTGAACCTAAACCTCAAAAACCTGAAAAAAATTTTAGTTAATGGAACTAAAACTTATCCACAATCCAGGGTTCGACGAATCTCCCTGCACATTGCATATGTGCATGATGTTCACACCTATTAGAATATGACAGGCATATTTAGCTCGGGTTTAAAGTTGAGGAAATATACGATTATGAATATTAAACACAACAAAATATCTGTGTAGTGTCAGGGTGGTCAAAAGATCTTGCACTATTCCACTCTGCATATAGATACGTCTTGAAGGGACTGAAAACAAACTTAATTTTATGTTAACACTCAATTCAAATTTGTATGCTCGATTGGCAACAGTATTTTTTACACTTTTATTCGAGAAACAATGTTATCGTTGTTTTCTATTTTAAAAAGTGATCAATTCTGTTAATTTCCTTCTTTGTGTCTACTGCATAGATTCACACGTCATCTTTACAGATAACGCACAATTAGAAATTATGAATTTTCATATAGAAAAACAAAAATATCTTCAAAATGTTTGCGCTGATAAAAAGCTTAAATAGGGTACCATTGTGAATAGAACAGTACACAAAACCTTTGAATTACGGCCGCTTTGTCCTTGTAAAGAGTTTTCGTGGATTTCCCCTTCATGAATAGTAGTTAATTAACAGCTCCTGGATCCATCACCAAAAATGTCAAAGATAACAAAACAAAACAGAAAAAAGTTTGAGTAAAAGATACAGAATATAGTTGCAAACAATACCTAGGCATATTTTCTAACATGCAGAGCAAAAAATCTCTGTTTTCCATATGAACGCATAATATACTTTCTTTCATCGTACTTTAGTTTTAGTTATGAAGAAAATGTCTTTAGATCAAAAATATGAAATTTTCATATTTCCTCTCTGGAAGTAAATTTAGTGTTGGATGTTTGGATTTAAAAGAAAGGAATTTTGCAACTCCTTTTATCTTTGTAACCTGATGTCGTAGTCCTTTGATATTTCAAACCGTGAAATATCAATGGTTTACACCATTTGGGTGCAAAGATACATGGATTAGAAAATTCGTGTTGGTGGCAAGAACTCAATTTCTTTATGAAATTTATGAAAGTTGAAAGCTTACCAAAATATTAAATAACCCACGAATATACCTTACTAATTCTTAAAAATTTGCCCTGAAGATATAATGAAGAAAGTCCTTAGCGATATTTTTTTAAGCAAAAGAAAGAACAAATTCATTCCATAGTTTTTTGGTTTTCACTGTACACTATGCATACTTTAGATTTTAGATTTTAAAGATTTTGACTACAAAGAATACAAAGAATACAAATACATCAACACCTAATATTTTACTGCAGAGCGCATATATATGTATTTAGGTGAAAATAAGAAAGTCCAAAGGGGGATATTAGGCATTAATAATGTTATTTATTGTTCACATTTTTTTAAATGATAGATTAAAGGTACTGTAAACGTGATTTTAAGTGATCCTCAATTGATAGAGTGGTATGTCAGATTCGAATCTCTACCCTTACAGGCTAATATGAACCCCTGTTTTTGTTTTTGAAAACTGATTATTTTTATTTGTTGTTGCAGAAAAAGAAAAATTGATCTCAATTTTGATTGAAAAATTCTAAGACGGTTTATTTTTTGAAATTTCATTTTACAACCGAGGTCCACTAAACCAAGCTAAATATTTCAGACCTAAAAACCCTATGTTTAAGTACCAAGAACTGATTACTTGCATGAATTTCAAAAACTCTTTGCAACCCAATGGTGTAAACCTCAGATATTCTTAACTACTAATTCTGCTAAGTCAAACAATTTTTAAACATCAAAGGTTTAAACTATTAGGTTGCAAAGATATAGGAATTAGAAAACTTTAGTTTGGACGAAGACTCAATTCCTTAATTTAAAAGATTTCATAGTTGAAAATACACTGGGTTGCAAGAATACAAGGATTTTAAAATAAATAGTTTGAGGCAAGTTTTCAGTTTCAGTCTTAACCCTACCAATCCTAGTTTAGGTCCCAAACAATTCTTTCTTGATATAGGGTTAAGGTGAAAATTAAACTCGTTTATATGCATATCTAGTAGTTTGGTAGGCGTCTACGATATTGTATATATATAAAGTATAGGTGTATTGCATAAACTGTAAAATATTCTCTAAGTTTATGCCTGACCCAAGATCAAACCAGGCCGACACGGGGCGTGAATACTAAAATACAGTTCTAACATTAAGAATTAAATTCTTGGTTGGAAAAATATTTTATAATTTATCACACTACACACTTCGGATTCTAATTAATCAGAGAAATTCCACTCGAGTTCGATCTTCCTTATCCTCAGGGCACTAGGAGACTAATACATCTTAAACATGGAGCTCAGGAGTCTTGGATACCTATACCTGGAGTACTTTATATCTTTACTTGGATACCTGGAGTACTTTTTATCTTTAGTTGGATACCTGGAGTACTTTATATCTTTAGTTGGATACCTGGAGTACTTTATATCTTTAGTTGGATACCTGGAGTACTTTATATCTTTAGTTGGATACCTGGATTACTTTATATCTGTAGTTGGATACCTGGAGTACTTTATATCTTTACTTGGATACCTGGAGTACTTTATATCTTTAGTTGGATACCTGGAGTACTTTATATCTTTAGTTAGATACCTGGAGTACTCTATATCTGTAGTCGGATATCTGGAGTACTTGATATCTTTATTTGGATACCTGGAGTACTCTATATCTGTAATTGGATACCTGGAGTTCAAGTCAAGTATGGATATGAATAATCTTGGATATCTATACATGGACTACTTTATATCTATAGATGGATACCTGAAGTCCTAGCCAAGTAGAGACGTGGATATTCTTGGATATCTATACCTGTAGTACTTTATATCTATAGTCAAGTAGAGATGAGGATAATCTTGGAGTTCTACCTGTTTACTTTATATCTATAGCTGGATACCTGGAGTCCTAGTCATGTATAGACGTGGATAATCTTGGATATCTATACCTGTAATACTTTATATCTATAGTAGGATACCTGAAGTCCTAGTAAAGTATAGACGTGGATAATCTTGGAGTTCTTTACCTGAAGTATACTTTATATCTTTAGTTGGATACTTGGAGTCCTAGTCAAGTATAGACGTGGA